CTCCCGTGGCCCCGCCCACCGCCGCTCCCTCCACGTGCTCCCTCCGGTGAGCGGGACCCCCATCCCGGCCCCGGGCAGGGGTGTTGGGATGAACCCCCGCAGCGCCAGCGGGAGCTCCGGGCGCTCAGCCCTGGGGCGTTTGGGCCAAGCAGGGCAATGGGGGCAGCCCCGGCCCCCCTGAGAGCCCGGGCAGGGGCTCCCCCGGACACGGGGACCCGGTTTCGCTGCTGACACAACAGATACAACGGGCAGACGTTTTCCAGTGTTTGGCTTTTATTGAGACATGACTTTCCTCTTTTCATATAACTTATCTAATTAAAATATTCGTATCAGTTACCACCAAAAGAAAAAAAAAAAAGGGAACATAGAAAATTGTATATACACAGTTAGGGACCCAAATACAAACGCAAGTCCAGGTCACTCCCCCTGCTGCCCGTGTCACTCATCCCACCACCAGCGGGGCAGCACCAGGGGAAGAGGCAGCTCTGCTCAGCTCCTTCACTGTAGTGTTGCACAGAAACATTGCACAAGTGTCACACCCCGGGCACTTTTACCTCAGACTTCCCTTAGTTTGCATCTCGTGGAAGCTGCCCTCCTCTGTCCAGCTTTGGGCAATACCCACAGCTGAGTATTGAGCTGTAGGATTAATTAAAATGGCAGTTTAGTGCCCAAGATGCTTGTTCTTGGGCCTCACCCAGATCCACTGGGGCCTCATCACTTCCCTCCCCTCTGCCCCTACCCCAAGTACAGAGGAGAAATAAAAGGTAGCACAACAGTCAGCAGAAGATAATATATTGTTATCTAATTAAAAATACAGCAAAATTAAATACAGCAAAAAAATGCAGGAGTAAGGAGCCATTCATTTACAGCACAACACACTGAAATGCTGCAGGGGAACAGGAAAGCATCTGGGACTGTAACAAACTTACAGCACGTGAGAGTCTGAGAACATTTTCCCAAGACCTTCAAAAGAAGAACAGACTAAATAAACAAGACAGGTGTTCAGAATGGTTCTAAAGAAAGAACAAGGAGAAAGGAAGAAAACAAATCAATGGAAACCAGACACACCGAGGGATTTTCCTAGAACCCTCCAGGAGGACTCTTCCCAGCCAGTTTTCCTCCAGTAAGTGCAAACAGACAGCTCCACCAGTCTGGGACTGGGCAACCACAGAAAGCCAGCAGCAGAGCTTCACAAAAGCTGCCACCACTACCAGCACATTTTCCACACAGAGAGCAAAGTCCTAAGGCAGCAAATATGGCTTGGAACAGGAGAATCCCCTTCTGATCCAGTCAGTGCTGACAGAGGCCAGCTCCCTCACCACTTGACCTGGGTCTGACCAACTCCATCCTCTGCCTGCACCTCTGGGTAGGTTCACTTTAGAGGCAGATAAAACCCTCAGGCAGGAACATTCACCTCAATAAAGCTTCACATTCAGCAGAAAGTGCCTGGTTGAGTCCAGCTCCCCTTTCTGTTGTGGCCTCAGCAAGTCCACTCAAATCACACCCTTCGTGCAGCTCCCCTGAGGAGCTGTGCTCCAGAGCTCCTCCTCACACCTCCACCAAACCCACCAGCTGGGTCCACCAGGTCACATTACCCCCCCTTTCCTTCCAGAGCTCCAGTTCCTCAGACACCAGGTACAACCAAGCTTTTAAAACTCCTGCTATGAAGCACACACATATTAAAAAGAAACCACATTCCATTATTCACTTCCCTCTAACCCCAGTCAAGTGGTTTCAGGTTCAATGACTAAAATCCTTGTTTTTTCCAAAGAAGGGGCAGAGCAAAAAATACAGGGAAAAGACAGGATTTAAAGTACCAGCTTCCAAACTGGAAATAAACCCTTCCTAGTTCCACACAGAAAACAAGATCAAAGTATTCCTTCTTTCCACTAAAAAAAGGCAAACTAATGCCTTCACTGGTATTTAAAAACTGGTTGCAATTCCAGAGGCAAAAATCCTCTCTCTCTCTCAAAAAGTTAAAATCTGACTTGATGCACAGTAAAATTTCTCCCCAAAGCCCTTGTAGTTTTATTCCCAGTAGCCAGAAGACAAGAGCAGCAGAGGAAAAAGTCCCCAGTGGCCCCTGGCATCCCTGCACAGCCTTGTAAGCATCTGTACCAGATCTAGAGGAACAGCAGAGAGAGAAGGCAGAGAGCTACAATTTTATTAACATACAGGAGCAGAGAGCAAAGCTTTGGGACTTGGTGTGCTTGCCAAAGGATCCACGAGCAGATGGGCCACCAGTCCCACTGTCCCAGAGAGTCCAGGTGGGACTTTGTGCCCAGCAGGTACCAGATGATGAGGAAAGTCTCCCATGACAGCCAATATCCACTTGGACAAATGGATTCCTGCCAGCTCCAGGCACAGAGCCTGGCCCCTGTACTGGATTAGGAGGGCAGAGACTACTGGGAGTGACATAAATAATACCAGCAGGATAAAGGGGTAAAATATTAATTAAAACCATTTTATAATTTATTAAGAGGTTAAATAGTAAATAAGTCTCTGGATCTTCCACTCTCAGCAGGTGCCAAGACTTCACATTTTCTTGTGTTGGGACACTCTGTACATCCTTCTTTTGTTGGATGACAAAGCTAAAAACAGGATGTTAGGGGCAGGGAGAAGACAGGGCAGGGCTTGACACTGAGAAAGGGACCAGAATAAAAGATAAAATACTGTGCTGTTGTCTTGTGCAGATCGAAGCTTCTCCCAGCAGCTGCAGCCTCCAAAGAGTTCAAAGAAAAGGGCTGTTTGGGGACCTTCTCCCCCTTCAGTGCCACTTCCCCACAAGAGGGAAAGTCCCAGATCTGCACTGCAAACTTATCTCCGAGAGAACCTGTTTTTAAAAGCTTTGATAGTCTTTGCCATCATGGGTGCAATTTCTGCAACAAAGGAGAAAGAAAACCACAAATCAAACTAAACAAAACAAAAAAGAAACCCAAACCAACCCACATATTAAAGCAGCAGTCACAGAGTGGGAGAGCAGAGAGCAATTCAAAGCTGCAGCAAAGATGCAAGGGAGGGGTAAGTGTTTGGAAGGAGGAGTCTGAACCCAATCCCTAGGGAGAGAGGCCACCAGCATCAACCTTCCTGCACAGCCTGGATTTCTCTTACAGCAGAAGCAGCAGATTGGTGTATTTGCAAAGGAAGAGCTGTAGGAGACCACAGGGATGTTCTGTGGTTTGTACTTACTCTTCACTGGTGGTTTCCTGGGGTCATAGGAGGAGAAGGTGCTACCTGAAGACGGGACAGAATGGGCACTGCTGGTGCTGGGCCCATCGTAGGACTGCTCCTCACTCACACGAGGGTGGCTTTTGCTGGATGTGTACAGGACTGGTTTTATCCTGAAACAGGGACAGGACAGACCTTTCAGGACAGGAGTCACTGTGGTTTGATGCAGTTCTCCAGACACAAACCACACTTGTCAGCAGCAGCAGTGACCAGGACCTCCACAATTTCCAGCCACAAAGAGGCCGTTACAGTGACAAGTGTCACTGCAAAAGGACCTCCCAGGCACACAGTGACCTTATCCTGCCAAAGCCCAGAGCTTCAGGGCAGGGGCTCACAGGAAGGGTAGCCCTGAACAGCAAGGGCTACTGAGCAACACTTACTTGGTCTTCTCTGGCAGAAGAGGTCCTCCAGTTCCAAACTTCTCCTGTCTCCTCCGTACGTCCCGAGGAGGCTTTGCTGCAGAGTTCACAAATGCCATTTTGGCCACTCTACCTGTAGGAGGCCAGAGGGAAACACTGCTCAAATCCAACTTACTACCAAGGAGGGCTCTGTCTTATTACAGCAAACTCCAACCACCTCTTCCCAGCCCACCCATTCCAAAGCTCTGGTGATAGTCTCCTCCCTCATGACTGAACCCTGCAGTCACAATATGGGAGAAATCAGACTGATTAGGTCAGTAGTTCTCATTATGTTCACCAAAAGAGCACAAATGCTTCCCCCTGACCCTGATTTTCTTCAGCTTCAGCATGGAGAAGCCATTCTAGAACAGGAGGTGCCTCTGCAGCCCAACATGTTCCTGCTTTAAAATCTTGCCCCATCCAGTCTGCACCCACAGCACTGGGTGAAACCCAGAGCCTGCCAAGCCACGGAATAAAGGCCACCATATAAAGAACAGAGAGCTCAGCAACCTTTACATCATACTAAATTTAAACCAGTCATTCCAGAAGACCTTCCCCATAGAGAAATATCCCAGTTTCCCCTCTGGTCA